CCAAATTCTTACCCTAATCCTAACCTAACTTAGGCCGATCGACATCTGAGGCAAGCGTTAATCTGAGGCACGACATACACGTGGCTACATGTATCACTATATACATCACACATAAATACGTAATCGGATGGTGTGATCCGTATCTGTTTAAGAAATCCATATAAATGTACATTCGATGCTGGACTCCGAAACTACGGATTTTCTAAGTTATATAATTCATGTTAAGATTATACGCAGCATTAATAAAAATTAAAAAGTTTTTTGTTTTATAAAACATTTTTTTTAATGGTCTAGGAAAAATATATATAAATCACATTCTTGTAAATATAAAAAAAATCGAAAAAATCAAAATAAAATGGAAACTATTCCAAATGAACTCATGATTCAAATTTTAAGGCATGTCCTTCGAGTTACTAGGTAATTAGTGATTTTGAACAGTACATTTTAAACGAATCAATCATTTTAAAGGTATAATTTAAGATTTTTTTTTTTGACATCCTTAAAATTCTTTCGAAATTCGATTTTTTTTTTTCTTATAAAGTTTCAAGGGACTGACAAAGCTTCGAAGAACTTGCAAGGAATGGAATAATCTAATTCCAGCGGCTTGTAAAGATGAAGTCTGTGAATTTTATAGGAAATGGAGATTTTGTCGGGACAAAGTCAGTCAATTTTATAATTCCTAAAATATATACGTACAATATATAACTTTCTAAAATATTTTCATTTTTGGGTAAATAATTATTCTACCCAAAATTATTTCATTTTTTTCATAATTTGATACTAAACCTCGAAGCAAGACCCACTATATGAAGATCTAATTCCTTGTAAAAGTTACGATTACTTCAAATTCAAATTTCGAGATGATACATATTTAGTTCCAAATGACAATGATATTACAAGATTCATATCAGAAACATATAGCAAACAAAAAATTATTGTTGATGGAGATGTTTGGTCATTGTTTACAAAGTGGCATAACAAACCATCATCATACTGTTTATATGAAGAAGTTGTAGAATTAAAGAAGATTAAATATCTTTTGTCGCCGGCTCGTGTTATCTTTGAAGACATAGATGAACTAAACAGAAAGCAAGGAATATAAAAAAATAATAAACGGTTGGTATTAGATTATATAGATATGAATTTTAGTGTTAGATTGTATTGATGTTAGACTGTATTAGGGGAATGGGCTTTTTTAATGTTGTATAGTATCGTATAGTGATGTATTTTTACACCATGTAATTTTTCTCAATGTTAGTCATAAATTAATCAGTTAAATATACGAGTCCAAAGTTATCTTTGGATAAATGAATAATAATAATCGCACCTAACTAGTGAATAAGAATACACCGTTATTAAATATATTCACAAGTCATTTATTTGATGATATTATGATTAGATATTTAAATGTTAAAAAGAAAATATATATATAGATATTTAGAAAAAAGGAAAGTAGATAATTTCAATCTACCATGCAAATTCACCATTCCAGCTTCTACTATAATTTTCACCTTTTTGTCTATTCTTGCTTTTAAAATGATAATACTAAACCATAAAAATCATTTAAACTATAGAACAACAAAATTTACATGAATACAAATGTACAAGGTAAAAAAAATAAAAATAAACATAAAAAAATAAAATACATATACATGCATATACATATTTTACATATGACGCAAATTATATCATAGATCAACTAAAATACCTCTCTAAAAACGTTTCTTACCCTCACAATTAAGAAATGGCTTTTGAATACTTAGATTAAATTATTAAATATTTTCTCCATTCAAATAATCTCTCAAATCTTTTTTAATTCCAAATTTAAAAATTACTTCCAAAGCAACCTTTGACGTCTATTATCAAATGAAATATATATAAGGTGAATGAATGTGCATATAAAATAAAAAAGCAGGCCATGACAGGTTGAGAAAAAAAACAATTATTCGTAATATATTTCATCTTATTAATAATGACATATTAAATGGCAGTATTAAATGCCAATAAGATTGTCATGCACCAATATTCTTTTGTCTTTTTTCAACCTATACACTGTAGATGAAAAAAAACATACCACGAAAATAGCATCTCTGTTAACGTTATCCAAAGTGTCACATGCTTGATGGTTACAAGGATCTAAAGGGACATTAGCAACTCCACCAAATTTTTGTTTTGATTCACTGTTTTTTATTTCACTTGATCCAGTATAAAGACCACCTTTATCAAAAAAGATTCGAATTTATAATCACATTCTGTGTCATCTAAAACAAATGAGTTTGAATTCTCAGGAATGATAAAGGGATACCTGATGGAATTCCATTTTGAACGAAAGGTAAAAAGTCACTACCATCCAACATGCCAGAAACATCGTAGGGTTTGCTTAATCCATTAAATTCATTTGCTAACATTTGCTGAATTCTTATTGACCCTTTTCTTGCGTCTGGTGGTGCATCCGAACCTCGTAAAATCTGTCTCAAAATGTAACAAAATTTATTTTATTTATTAATAATACGCAACCTTAAAAGATTAGTCTAAATAAAAATAATACTTACAAATGGTATATAATTCGGACTTCCTAACATATCAAAATTCAAATACATGGCAATATTTTCTTTCTCTTTGCTTTTAACAAGTTTTCTAACAAAATGTCTTGATCCTCCTAGTCCAATCTCCTCAGCTCCCCACCAAGCAAATACTAATCTATTCTTTGGCCTATACTGTTGTTTTTCTAATGTCAACAGAATTTCCAGTATAGTTGCGGACCCAGAAGCATTATCATCCATACCAGGGCCGGCAGGAACAGAATCCAAATGAGCACCTAGAATTATTGTATCTTCTTTATTACCATGATTGTTTAAATAGCATACAATGTTAAATGTTTCGGTGACAAAAATTTTTGTGTAAGTAGTGATATTGACTGAGGATGATATCTTGAGTATTCGGCCAAGTGAATTAGAGGCTGCAATAACTGGTATGTTCATTAAAGGATCTAATTATCAAAATAAAATAAAAAAAATAAAAATAAATTTTTTTGAAAATAGGTTCGTTACATCTAAATGCATGATGAAAAGGATTGATCCCGTTTTATTTAGAGGCGCAGGTGAATCGTCCCAATGATACCGTAACTTTGCCGTAAAGTGCCGTAACTATATTAATTAATTATAGAAAGTTACAGCAACTGTGCCGTAACTTTTTATGATTAATTAATATGATTACGGCACGTTGCGGCAAAGTTACGGCATCATTGGGACGATTCACCTACACCTCTAGTTTTATCACAGTTATTTCATCGATTTTTAATTCCCTAACTCTAAATTTATTCTAAATCGTGAAACTTTAACTATAAGGGAAATTAGTGTTCCGTACGGGCCGAATTGGACGGATATTTTCAAAATCCGAATCGGATTCGAATCCACCCGGATCTGTCTCTTCCTCTTTAGTAATAAACTTAATAACTCAATTTAAATTTTGATTTCCGATTATTTCATATAGACCTTGCCCATATTTTATTTTCTATTCGGAATATGGAAGACTACATAAACTTTTGGGACAAATGAAAAAAATTACAAGACTGAATTGATAATTTCTAATTTCGACTGACATCTGTGATTTATTGATTCCAGCTCCGAAACTTATTAGAAGAATTTTCAATTGCCCCATAATTTATGAAAACAGCTATAAGATTTTGGTCATTTGATTCGGATTGGGTATTGCTCGAACGACCATTTGCTAGAAAAATCACTATTTGAGAGCAAGTGCCAAACGGTGATTTTCCTAGCAGATGATCCATATGGTCTGTACCCGCATGGATCTGATAAATTATGGGTCCAGATTCGCTCCGTGGTTCTTTTGCGAAACACTAATGGAAATATGGCCGTTGAAGAACGTTATCCACTGGATAAAAAAGAAAGATTACCTCCTTCTTTCCATTCAGGAATTCTCACTCGAACATATGAAAGTTTTGTTTGCTCTGGTGTGTTATAGAAAACAACGGCAGATGCATTATTCTGCGAATCAATAAAATTCTTGGTCATTAGATAGCACATTTAGTAGTTGGAAAATAGTTGGAAAACGGATCAAATACTTGTTCAGCTCTATAAGCAACATCCCAAACACTGAAATTTCCAAATTGAATTAGAGCAATTTTTCCTTGAATATTCCATTCGGTATTATTATCAAGAGGGTCTTTTATTTCAACAACTTTTTGAGAAACTAAACTTGCTGCTTGACCGCCATCTCGCATACCTATTTAAAAAAAGGAGAAAAAATAATTCTCTTCATAAAATTGACACAAAAACATGTGCTACAGATTCTAAATTTTATATGTAAATACTCACTCCAAAAATCAATACCACCTTGAAACACAACTATTTCATCAGTGCTACCAAAAGAAACGCTCAACTCTGCCTCTTTTTCTTTCTCCCAAATGGGTACTTTAAAATATTGTAATTCCACATCACAACTGGTTTTATTAATTAAATTATTTATAATATATTCAGCTGATGCATTATATCCATTTGTTATTGAGCGAGAGTTATTTGAATTTTTTGCAATTTCATTTAATGCTTTTAAATGCGAAAATATATTTGGAGTTAATTCTTTAGGCCAAGGTCCAATTGGGTGAGCTTTATTAATAAAAATTTTTTGAAAAAAAAAGGTTGAAATTAGAAAAATAAAGATATAACCAAGTTTAATAAATAGATGAGTTTAGCTTACGAGTATTATGCGGTACGAATATGACAAATAAGACAAACCCAGTAATTAATATAAGAAATGCGATGAGACCCAATGGAAATTTCCCATAACGACTCCCACTTCTGTTAGACGGTTGGTCTTTTTTTCAAATATACATAATCAAAAACATGAATGAACATATTGCGTTAATAAGAGATGAACTTAAATTACCAATAACATCACTCCCAATACTGAGTAAAGGGGATTGTTCAGTAGCCATTTCTTGTAAAGCAAAGATCGAATGAAAAATAAAGGATTTAACTTTGTGATTAAAGTACGTACATGATTGAGTGTTACAATGATCGTGATCTTAAAAGTGTGTGAAGATCCGAAAATCTGGAACTTAAACCCGTGATAGTAAAACGTGGGGAGTAAGGCTTCTCGATTTTAAACACATGCCCAAAAGCCTTATTCCATATTAATGAAGAAAAAGAGAATCAAGTATTTGGTAATGGTAACATGATTTGTACAAATGAACATGACTGTAACACAATAATAGCAAATTAATACAAAGAATTTCGATATTAACATAATTAGTTAAATTTCATTTCAATCGTCATACGTAACCTTATTTTTCACAACAAACTTGGGACTCATATATTTTCCAGCAAGTGTTCATCTAATTCTAACACATTATCATCTAAATTAACCCATCTTGTTCCAATTTTCACAGTATTTATTCATCTTAATACTAACAATGTAATTTACACTTTATCTACTTATCTGAAATAATTCGTAAGCTCAAACGAATATTTAAGTTACGTATACGATTTGGTGTCACCTCGTTGAGTTGCTATATAAATAAAATTATAAATAATATTACATAATATTATATTGTTTATAAATTAATACATATTAGGGTAATTATAATTATCTAGGGTGAAGAAGGATTCGTTTTTACGACGTCTCCTTTCGTAATACGTATGTATATATGCGGATCAACGTAGTTTCACCAATCCTTGTGTGTGTATTAAGCCACATAATTTTAGCCGACTGGCACAGCCAGCTGACTAAAATAACCTAACTCTTCGAAATTTCGTAATCCTTTTACTATTTATAATCATATGATTTTTAGTCGCATTAGCTAGCCCCGAACATATTAATATTATATCGCTGGCTTAGCCGGTTTAGGCTGCGGCTGCTTTAGCTAACTTAAAACACTACGTATCGGTATGTGATTTGTGATGCCGCCATTTAACGATAATAGTGCTATTATACATATATGTTGTAAGTGGGAACGTGACTTGGAATTTCTTAATAAAATTATGATTTTGGGGTAGGGTTTGTTCTATGTAAACCTATACCCTAACCCTAAAATTCTAAAAATTTCCAATCCACTTAAATTCCGTTTCCACTTACGTACATACGTACGTACCAGAATTTGAATTTTATATTTAAAAACTAGAGATGAGTGCATACATATGATACATTAAGAATCCTCAATGAAACGCTAATGGAGGTTGAGAGAAAATAATCATTAAAGAACCTAGATAAGACACAAGAATGTATACCAAAGGAAAGCATAACAGATAATTAGTAATAACTTTATATACTTAATGTAAGACTGTCACAACGTTCTTCATTATAAATTGTGTTAGGTACTCAGGTTATTTTGGTATCTAAAAAATATTCTAAAAGAATTGTCTATGAGAGCAGAACGTATTTGGGATTTGATTTTTTAATGTTGCTTATTACACAAGAAAGAGTATCATTATGTAAAGAGTTGGAAATATTAGTAAAAGCTGGCAATGATTTACAAATATATTTATTAAGTTTTTTTTGCTAATTTTTTACACCAAATACACTAATATCTTCGGGACAAGATACACAATAATTATCCAAATGAGCCTTCATGACTTGAGGTTTTCTATACTTTCAGCTTTGTTATGATAGTAGCATATTGCTTTACAATGATTATTGCTACAGGTTACTCCCATTAATATCATCCTTATTAATATCAACCTAAGCCACAAAACAAATTTTTATAAATTTTTATATATCAAAATTCCCTCATATATATCAACTTGAATATGATTTCTTGTTAATATCACTATCAACATGATTTAAAACCAATTCAAATAGGTTGATATTAATGAGGGTAACCTGTATTACTATATTCCTGTATATAATATCAGTTTATATGTTAGATTTGCATACTTATTGATCAAATTAATAGACGTACCTAAATTATATATATATATTTTATACATTTTTTTTATTTTTTAATTTTCTTTGAAGTTTAATATAAAAGTTAAGTTAAAACTTCCGATATTTATTCTTGAGTATCTAACGATTCTTTGTACAAAATTTAAGTAATAGTTAATAAAAAGTTGAAAACAATCTTGACCCTAAAGTTAACGTTTAATTACAATGTTTCTTAGTCCAAAGACTGACACACTATCAATAATTACAATACTATATGTTCCTTAAATTAAAAGACCGACTCACCATTAAAAAAATTATGACGAAAATTTACAATATTTTATAGTTGGTCAGTTTTTTGACTTAAGGAACATACAAACTTTGTATAAAGGATCTTCAGGAACTCAAGAATAAGTATCTAAAATTTTAAATTGATTTTTATTTTAATTTCAATGAAATTTATAAATAAATTTTTTTTTTTATAAATTTATTTATAAATTTAAGTAGGTCAATTAATTTGATCAATAAATCTGCAATTGTAAACGACATGTCGGCCGACTGATATGGTCAAATTTCATCAAAATTTGACCCGCTGGGTTTTCGCTTTTTGATTAAGGATTTTGAAGAGGTAAAGCTAATATTATCCGAAATAATTAAGCTTTTACGGCTTAAAACTTGCCATCGTTGATAAAAAATAATTATTGTTTAATAAAATTGTATAACATACTATATATCGCTTATATCACTACTACATTATTACGACCTATAACATATTAAAATACTTGCTACTTAAATTACGACCTACGTCAATATTACAAAAGTTGCGGCTTTATTAGTGAAAGTCGCAACTCCGTTATCTCGCGCGTTTACTAATTTCTCCCCCACTTCTGATTGCTTCTACTAGGGATGGGCAAAGTAATTTTGTAAGTAATAATGACTTATTACTTATCCCTTAATTATTATTAAGTAGTATTAAGTATTTATTACATTCCATTACATATTACGTGTAAATTTAATCATTTGATAATGAGCGATCAAAACTGAGTTTAAGAATAAATTTGATACTAAAAATAGAATTATCGTAAAATTATTTATTATTACCTATTTGCAAAAAAATCAGATAATATTAAGTAATATTAAGTAAGAATACGTATTAATTTTGCCCATCCCTAGCTTCTACTAATAATTCACATCGGAGTACCTGTGTAATTTTATAGTACTCCGATAGTGAAGTGGGGGGAATTAGTTATCTTAAAATGTTTGCCGTAATTTACTGTATGTAAAAAAAAGTTTTTGTTATAATGACATCAAGTATGCGACGGCTATTTATATTTAGTATATTTAAACTTTTTAAGGTCTAAAATTTATAAGCTTATTTTACACTTAAGACTTTTTAACTGATTTAAAGGCCCCATTTAGGGTTGTTAATGGAGTAGATTACCCGGAGCACTCCGGAGTAGAACCCACCCAAGTTGGAGTGGGTTTAAAATTATGCCTTTAAATTTGGTGCAACCTGGAGCAACCTGGAGCAAAACATTGGAGTAAGTCTAATTTAGTGGAGTGGTTGAAGATTGGGTCAACCCAACCCAACCCATTAACAACCAAACTCCCATTGTCCATGTATCATATAGTTTAACAGTTAATTTCTCCAAGTCACAATTGATTCATTATACCTTTTCATTTTATAATTAATCTTTCTTGATATCTTAATGCCGTGCCGTTGTATTATCTGGTTCGATTTAAATGCATTATCATATTTCCCATAATAAAATAAAATTTTCCTCTATAGCTTAATTCATACGTAATACTTTGCTTTGTTTCGAATGATTTGGTTAATTCATTTGTTAGATTAACCAGCATTTTTTCATATCCGCTTATGATGAAATAAACCTTTTTTTGATACTCCAATGCTAGTGCATTATATGGTTTATTGTTAACATCTTCATTGCTATTAATTACAAAAAAAATAGACATATTGATGAGATAAATTCTTGATAAGCGAAACCGATTCGATTAACCCCTTTTAATAAATTTACCAAAATATTTAGAATCACTTTTATCGACCTTCCTTGCGATCTAAATCCAATGCAAGGATATAGAATGTCTTTAAAGTTTTCAGGTAGATAGCATGCTTCTTTAAATGCGCTATAAATAAATATTAAATTTGCCACCTAATTTACTACCTAATTTGCTTCAAAAATATGAACATTAATTTCTAAAGTGTTAATTACCTAAGTTGACTCTAAATTTTAAATAACATCCGACTGTATTGCCAGTAGTACGTACTGTATATGGTGGTCCGTATGACTCGACACTTACAGCACAGTAAAAACATTTATCGTCACCATGGTAACCATTCTCCCACGATTCATCGATTCATTTTCCTTATTATTGCAATCATCATTATCTTTATATTCCTGTTCTAAGGGATTTTATTTATGGGTGTTAATCTACAATAATAAGAAAATAAAATAAAAATCTATATTACTAAGCATGAGATGTTATTTTATATAATCAGAGCCTATTTTGTTATGGCTTTGCTTTGTGCAAGATCCTATTAATAAATTGAGCTGATGATTATAACAATTACAAGTAAAACAGAATGGTAATCTTTATAACATGAAATAATTATTAATCCTCAGCAAGTACAATTCTTATAAACTTTATATAGCTCTATAAAGTTATATAAATATTATATAAAATTTTTTTAAGTAAATTTCATTTATAATTTAATTTACTTTAGCTATGTATTTCTCAAAAGTGACTAAGGTAATCACCGCTCGATGCACTAAGTAAAAATGTTCAACCTTAATTTAACCATTAAAATCTAATCCTAACTTTAATATTTTTAAAATTTTTTTGTAATTTTACATAGTTCTATATAAAATATATATAGATTTATATAAATAACTTTAAAGTTTTTATAAGATCCAATAAAAATTTTACATAACTTTTCATAAGATCCAATAAAAATTTTACATAACTTTTCATAAAAGTTTTACATAGTTTTATGCAAAAATGTAATTGTTGTTGAATCGAACAAATTATGTCAAAGCAACTTGTGTAATTATCGAATACCAGGGATTGAGTGATGTTGAAAGTTTCACGAAGTTATGGCTATGTAATCGATTTGGTTGTTGCTCAATTCCCGAAAGCTATTTACCCGACAGGCCACTTACCCGACATCACATAGGGTTATGGTTAGCATTTAATTAACTGCAGATATATATTTTTAGCAATTTGTCACCCTTGTGATGTCGGGTAAGTGACCTGTCGGGTAAATAGCTTTCAGGGAACCGTACCGTAATGATTTAATGGTGTTGCACCACAAAATCTTGCAATTTATTGGATGTTATGTAAGGCGTAAGTTCAGATTTGATTTTTTACGTGCCACCGGCTTGGTTATAATAATCCTTTGTCCAACATGTGCGCAAACATAAGCTGAAGAACGGGTTGATTAAGGTACGTAGACTGGTTGGTGAACTTTCGTTGGTTAGTCGTATGATTTGGACTTTTATATCGTGGAGGGTTGACAATAATATAAGCGCCGTAACTTTTAAGAGTCATGCAGATGATCTTGAAAATCAAATTATGGATATAAAATAAGACAATGCAGGTTGGTAGCATACGCGGAAAATAATATCGATATATCAAGTTTTTAAGATTATTATTGAGAACAATAGGTAGCAAGTTTTTATTATTTTATTATGATCGAAGAAGTGTTTCCTTTATTAGCTCATGCATTATATTTATACATTTTTCTTCCAAGGGTTTCAAACCCAAATCTTGGGTCCTGAACCATGCATTGCCTTATACTAACAAAAAATAATGCTATAATTCTAGTCTACTATAAATTTTTTTTTCACTACAATGTCTAGTTTTTTTCTTTAATAAGATTTAAGAAGTATATTCCATTACCAGTTTTTTTTTCTTCTTTTTTAAAAAAGTAAAAAAAAAAAAAATAACAATAAATACATTTAATACACTACTATTATCGTGTAGTGCTTGCTAAAAAAAAAAAACCATTGATATTATAGTATTTGAAAATTCTCTCCGTGTATGCAAGTCTTACTATTAGTCAAAGAATCAATATGCGTTATAATGGTATAATTGATTACTAAAATATAGTAAAGAACTTGTCAGCAAAGTAACAAAGCGACCATTATTGCAAGATCAAATGTCTTTAGACCCAATTTGCCGTTTTATGCTTTTATTATCGTCTCATTAGATGCAAGTTTCCCTGGTTGAAACTGTGATAAAATATGATTGTTGATCAAATTGATATAAGAATTAGTTGGTAATGGAAGGAAAGTTAATCATATGGTCCAAGTATGAAATCGGTAGGGCAGAAGGAAAGGCGTTTTTGTTAATTCAGTAAAGATGATTATTCAGTAGTGAAAGTTTATCTTGTTCTTTACTTTTGTTTGTCTCGTAAGAAAGTTAGCTTTATCGTCCCTCCCGTTCCTGCCCATCTTGAAATAGCTCTGCAAATAAGGGTAGTGATTGGCACTTGGGTTAATAGATTAAATAGTAATGGTAATCAATCTCAGGTTTCGCGGCTGCAATAGCAGTGTAAGGACCTTTACTTTGTGGTAATTGACGCCGCGGCTGTAATAAAATACCGAATATATATCCGCTATAACGAGGGTGAATTGTAATTACAAATTATAAAAACACATTTTTTGTTTTAAAGTTAGTACAAAACATAAGAAAAATTGGTCTCTGTATAAACAATATCATCTTAGTTATATTGATACCAACTCGATAAAATTGTATTTACAAGTTATTTACAAGAAAACATGATCAGATGCCGCATGAAAAAATATTTTTGGAGCAATCAATAATTTCAAATTTTCATCTAAGAAACTACCTTTGTATATTAACAAAAAAAATTCTTTACAAAATTTTGGTATAGTGTTATTCACGTATAGTGTTATTCACTATCAATAATTTCATCTAAAATATCACATTTAAAAAAGACATATGAATTAGGCCAGACCAATTTAATTCTCTGTTTAACATAACCCCTCTCTATTTTATAAATAAAAAATTGCAGTATTAGTTTTTTATAATTTTTACATTTTTTTTACAGACATAGAATTACAGTGTTTTTATTAATTTGTCTCTCCCCCAATCTTACGAGCTATTTTAAGTTATGTTAAACAGGAAAACAATTTGGAGTAGCCTTAGTACAAATAATCCAAGCTAATAGAACTTGAGGAAATTAATAATTCATAACTTGGCAATATAAAACAACAACTTCTTTCATTTTAATATAAAATTATGATTGAAACAAGTATTTCTTGATTGAATCGATGTGAACACAATTTTTGGATAATAGTATTCATATTAGTGGCGCCAAAAAATAACTGGAAACTTTGTCTAAACTTCTAGATTTTCTCTTGGGTGTCTTCTAAATTTTCCCTTGGCTACCTTCTAGATTTTCTCTTGGGTGTCTTCTAAATTTTCCCTTGGCTACCTTCTAGATTTTCTCTTGAATACTTTTATAAATCAACTTGATCAGCCAATTAAGCATATTTTAAAGAATTTCTAGGTTGCCGAGTTGCTGAGTATGAGTTATATCGATTTATATTGATTCATCTTTGTTAATGTGAAATACCTAATACTCTATCAAAAATGTTATAATAGATTGATATCGATATATTTATGATACATCGATGATTAATACGGCTTTAATCTACATTTAACTTTAATTATCTATTATCTATTATGTACTATATTACCGGTATAATTTGTGATTTGTTCTGATTTTTTAAGATAACGATGCCAAGCATCCATTCCCAGGGCAATTTTCCTGATAGTTTACGATTTACAAATCAGGGGTTCTCTAGTTTATAGACTCCCAATTTTAAAAAAAATCAGATTTGTAATAAAAATTCACAAAACTTATATCAAGAGTTTATTAATAACTTCTTTATGTTAATTGGATTTACCGTAAACTGTTTTAAGGCTCAAAATTTGCTATATAGAGTTTCAATTTTTTATCGAGCCAGTAATATTACCAAAACCTATTCTGGTATTGCTGTGATCATGTTTTAATAGTAACATTTAAATCTTTAAATTCACCTCCGATAATTCAGTAATTACAATTACCTAACCCCTACCTGGAATCAATTATTCAATCAAAATTTAATTCATCTTTGGAATCAGATCTCCACATTATTTTCATGCACATACTGATATTATGATGACGAATTATTGATTTATTTATTTTTTAATTTGACATTCTATAGGTACGTACGTGCTGTACGTATGTATGTACGTGATGTCACAGCTATAACTCAATTACGCTTTATTTTATAAGCCGGTTTGACATAATTTTTTATATAAGATATAAATGAGTGACGTAAATAAGTTTGAATCGATTATCAAGAATCGTATAAATAATTAATTTATAAAATACGACGCTATAACGCATCACCGTATAAGGCGAAAGTAGCCTTAGACTTTCGAATTAGTTAATTTATTCCAAAAAGTCATTAATTGGATAAAACTTCAAATATTACTATTATAAAGTCAATATGCCAAGAACAACTGCTAAAAGGAGAAGAAAGCCCAATACTCGAAGTGCAAAAAACGAAGAAGCTGCGGGTATTATTTTATTATTTCAAATTGGAACTTTTTATTTTTTTTTAAATACTTATGTTGAATAATTTATCAGAAAACCAGAACGAAAAATCAACTCTTAAAACAAAGTTATCTGAACCAGAGACGCCTAAAAAACGCCAAAGAAAGGCAAATAATAAAAATGGTATTATTAATTTACTCTATATATATATATATATATATTTTTTTTTGGCGATAGTTTATAAATCATTATTATCTTTAGATGCATCAGAAGAATCCGCTCGTACATCACCTGCATCAGATAATGTCACTGATACAGATTATATACAAGCTAACAATACACGGCTTACGTCTGAGGAAGCAATTCAGCAACCAAAAGCAAGAGACGATATAAACAATAAACCAGAAAATAATCAAATTCAACCTCAACTCCAAAAGCAACCATTGGTCCATGTAGATAGTGCCAATAATATACCATTTGCTAATCCTAATCAGCAAATGTATTATTTTTTAGAATTACCTTATGCGAATGAATGTGGAGTTGGTCCTCCAATCGATTCACTTACTGATTCTCCAAATGAATCACTAAAACACAATCGGTCGTTGCATTTGAATCATACACCGTATAAGAATGATTCATTATGCTCTGCAAAGACTTATTTGATAGCTAATCCTCTTTGCGTATCATGTTCTGCAAATCCTCTTTGTATACCATATCCTGCAAACCCTCTTTGCGTGTCGTGTTCCACAAACTATGTTCCAAATTATCATGATCAGCATATCATCTGTAATTCTCAAAATAATAATGCAGACTTGAATTTACAATCTCAACAAACGCAAGTGCTTCATTCCCCAGATAATCATAGTAAGAATACTGATAGTCAAGAATTGACCTTCCCTAATCAAGCTGCACTCGTTGAATGGTTGCGTACAAGACAAGATTTGCTCTTTCAAGCTCAAGGATCATATGTACTTTCTTTTTTATGCCGTATATTATTATTGTGGCAGCTGAAGCTGAGGTTTTGAAATATTTTAATATTAAAATTTAAAAATTTTTTGGGCCTTTTTTGTCAGCCGTTTTTTTTTTAGTTAGGTTAGGGTTTAGGGGTAGTTTTATTAATAAAAGAGTGCAAGTGAATTTTGGTAGGTATTATAGATTTAAATAGAGACCTCCAATCTCAGCTTCAGCCAATCTCAGCTTCAGCCGCCACAATTATTATTCTTATTATTACTGTATTCGAAATTTTATTATTAAGTCATTTTAATTATTATATTTATTAGGATGCTATGATGGATCTAGTTATGGACCAATGTAAGCTCTTATTTTTACGAACACGAAATCCTAATGGTGAAACACGCGATACACTTGTCGAAAAAATTACTTCTCCAATGGATCCTTCACCAGGAGAATTAGTAGAATTGAAAAGGAGAGCCCGTGAACACTTTAATCACTTTCGTTCTTATTTTAATAAAGATATGGCATCTTTAGCTAATTCTTTATTACTAAAAAAGTCGTATGTATTTAACATGTATTATGTTGATTTGTATAATATTATTAATTAACTCGGTCTTTTTTTTTTAATTATAGCGATCCAACTGATGATGATGTTAAAAAATTCGTTGGGGATGGTGTTTGGAAACAAAAGCTCAACAGATTTTTAGATGCCAGTGATTATTGCGAATTTCAAAAATCCACTTCTCTCAAGTCACTTAAAACATTTGTGATCGAAAGTTTAAAGATTCATATTGCATATTTGATTGCTATTCGCAATCAAAAAAAACCTTCTTATCATGAAGAAGTCCTGCATAAGATTAAATTGCTCGATCGACTTACTGCACATATGACTATTCCAGCCGCAAACGGGTATAATTATGCCAATGAGCTGGATCTTAATATGAAATCTGATAATAACGATGGCTAATATTTATATATTATGTACTCAAGTTCTTGTATTCATTTCAATATTCATTTCGCTTAGATTTTTAATTATGTTTAGTTGAGTTGCTAGTTGAATTAATGGCTGTTATATTTGCAATTTAATATAAAATTTTATTTAACACATTTTAATATCGTATTTTATCTATTAATAATAGGACATTATACATAATTTATTTTATAGATAAGATGCACGTACGTACGTACGTACCTTATTAACATTTGTGCATAACATTTGTTTGATCATCGCACACTGTTATGTACAATATTTAGGGGTTTTCTCTTGGCGGCACTCATATAATCGGCTTTTTTATAGCCTGCGAAATTTCCGAATTCGTGTAACGAAGTTTATTTAATTTGGAAAATTATAAGGTTTCGGAAAATTTTAAGGGACAATTAAGTCATGATGTTACACGGAACTAATGTATGTACTGTACTGTACGTACGTACGAAAATCATTCTGTAATAACATTCTCTAACGTAATAAACCTCTACATCTAAATTTGCAATATTGGATTCTATGTCCCTTTTGTTCTGAAATTATTTGAACAACAACATCACAATATTACTCTTTATATCAATAAATTTTTTATAAAACAAAAAGTAATGATTAACTTTTATATAATATCGCATAGTTTTGGTAGCAAAATACGTATCAATGAATCAATTTAAAATTAATTTGTCTTGTCTGTATAATATTTTGCAAAGTTAAGAATTTTTCGGCATTATAATTATAACTATAATACAAAAATACCTTAAACTATAATTCATAATTCAAAGAAATTATATATCGTTAATTGTAAAATGTTGTTAATTTGGCAATAACAAATGAATAAGAAAGTACTAATACTACATAATATTGAGATGAAATCATAAAAATACTGAGGTAATTAATGAAAACTAAAAAAAATTATAAATAATAAATATTAAAAAGAAATGGGCTTAATAAACTTTGATAATATTTGTTTTCTCTTAAAAGATCCTTTAATTTAATTTAATTTAATTTAGTTAGTTAGTTAAAAGATAGGCCCGAAAATAATGTGGTTGAAAATTGGTCATCTTGGGAGGGATTTGTTTGATCTTCTTCTCTTTGCTCTCCAGAAAACGTTCTTACGCCTTCAACCAACTCTGTATAACGTTGGTCAATGTTGAGAGTGTTGTTAGCTGAATTCACGTAAATTACAGCATTTTGAATTGTTTGGATCGGTTGGGAATTCATGATGGTGAAGTAATTATATTATGCTGATATTTTATTTATTTTTTGCTGGTGTTTATTTTTTTCGAAAGAATTTTTTTTTTTGAAAAAAAATATGAATGAAATCTGAAGTCATCTTGGTCAAGAATTATGACTTTATATACATTTTGCGATTAAAACTATTTCATAGATCAAGTACTATGTAGGTAATATTACTACGTATAAATCTAGGTATAAATCAATTGACTAATAATTTGATGTTATTAATACGTCATCTACATTATACATGATCCATTTTTACAGTGTACGATATAACACAATCTTGTATTTGTTTTTACACCGTTTTAGTGAGATAAATTTGGTTTCGTTTAAAGCAATTAATATGCTTAAAAATTGGTTTTAAATGTATGAAGATGCAACTGTTAATGCATTGTGTTCAGCATTTAGATTTCCGAATTATTAATTTATGATTTAGCTTAACAAAAATAGAATTGTAACACAACATTTACGCACGGATGTATTGTTTCAAGTAGATCAAATTTCAAGAAGGCAATAGATCCGAGATTTTATAACGTTAACTGGCTCCATCTGCAATACTTACCATATGGAAAAAGTATATTTATGTACAACAATCTATTAAAATATTTGTTATTAATTTTAGCAACAAACATGTTATTTTAGTTTTTTTTATCACAAAAGGCAATTACGGCACATGCTTCTGAAACCTTCAAAATGATGAAACCTTTCATAATTTATTATTAGGCTACGCAAAGTTAATTTTTCGTTTTGCTTAATATGAAATCGTCTGCAGAACAGATTTTTTCTGTCAGTCCTATCGGACAGTTACGGATCTATCGGGAGACACCGGATCAAATTATGAGAAGAAATAAAAGGTAAAAATCGAATAATTGGAACAATTTTAAACTTAAAAAAAGTTGGTTTTTGAAAAAAATGAAAAAATGGGTCGGTGAGTTATGTAAACCGAAAATTAACTTTGTGTGGCCTTATTTATTAATAATACCATATTAAATGCTAAGGAATAAATATTATACTTTAAAGTTATCTAATCAAACATCAATAATAAAGGGATTTGATTGTATAGTAATATTATAATACTGTAATAGGACATATAGGTAGGCTGATGC